AATATCCTACTGGAGCCCACATTGCTTCTCGCATGCTTTACACTGTAATTCTCTATATTCCTAGCCTTTTTCTTCTTATACAGATACCCTCTTTATCATTGTCGCTCTATTATTGGCTTTTTTTCTTTTAAGTTTCGTTTTAGGGTATTTTTTGGAGCGATTTTCTAAAAGTCTTGTTTTTTTTTTCCTGTAGGCTGACAATTCATTTGAGGATGTGAACAGTAAAGTGGTTGCTGATTTTGGATGTGGATGTGGTACATTAGGCCTTGCTGCTGGCCTTTTGGGAGCTGGGTATGTTCATAACTTTCTCTGGATTTTGTTTCTTTTATTGAACTTTACTGTTGGACGTACATATTTGTTCAGTGGCGGATTTTAAAGATTGTGGGTGATCACTCTTTTAACATAAAGTTGCTACCAACCATATAGGATAACTGCACAACTATTTGAACACAACAGAGAAAAGGTAAATGAGAAAATTATAGTAAAAATTTCATTATCAAAAGAATACTTCTAGTCTAGTCATGAGTCACGATGAACTACGAATAATATTATCTTTAAAAAAACAGACTTTTAGTCACAGAAGCAAGAAATATAAAAAAAAAGATTGTCTAACGCTAAAGTATCACGAGACAAAAGCCTAAGGAAATAAGAAAAAGAGAAAAAATAAATTTAAAAGACACGGTTCAAACTTAGAAAAGGAATTATAAAAAATTGAGATGGTCACTATTAAGAAGTAGCAGGCTGGCTTTCAGAAAAAGAAACGCTTCCATCAGAAATAGAACCCACGCCTCTTACTTTAGAGGCGCTTCTAAGTTCAACCTCAGAGCCACAACACCTATTAGTCATTTTGGTTCCTGGGTGCTTGCCAATATATTATATTGGTTTCTTATATTTCTGAAATAATCATATACAATTTATGTTGAGGTCCGCCCTTGTATTATTTGAGAACAGGGATGACAAACGGGCGGGTCGAGCCGGATATGGGCGGGTTGATAACCGATAATGCAAAAACGGATAAAATATCCTACTCGACCCATGTTTAACATGACTTCTTGAATATGATCATTTTGGGGAGAATTCCTAATCTCCCAACCTTGAGAAACCCCCAATTTGATTATTGGCAAATGTAAAATTTAAATCCATTAGCTATCTATTTTTTAAGTGGATAATATGGATCTTTTTCATATTTGACCAATTTTCGAAAAGTTCATTATCCAACTCTATGGATGGATTATTTTTTATCCATTTTGCCACCACTAGTTGAGAATATGTTTTAGACGTTAGCACTTTTACTTAGGTTATATATACCCTCTAAGAGTGGTTTAACCTTAAGAGATTTATATGTTTAGAAAATATATAGAATTTTTGATATTTCTTATTTGTATTTATATAATATTGGCATGAGATGAATTAAATAGAGTAACATTTAGTCGTTTGTATGAGGAACTCGAAGGCCGAGGTGGGGATAAGAGGTTGTCCAGGTTAGCCAAGGCGCGGGAAAGGAAGGCGCATGACTTGGACCAAGTGAAATACATCAAGGACGAAGAAGGTAGAGTTTTGTTGGATGAGGGGCTTATCTGTCGGAGATTGCAGACCTAATTCCATAGTTTCTTGAACGAGGAGGGGGACATGAGCACTGTACCGGGTGATTTGGAACTCTCCGGGAGTTGTTGTGACTTTGGGTGTTGTAGGCAGATTAGGGTTGATAAAGTTGAGGGGGCTATGCGTAAGATGAGCAGGGGCAAAGCAACCGGGCCGAATGAAATCCCGGTGGAGTTTTGGAAGAGTGCGGACAAGGCATGCTTGGAGTGACTCACTAGGTTATTTAATGTCATTTTTAGAACGAGGAAGATGCCGAAGAGGGAAGGTGGAGCACGATGGTTCCTGTATACAAGAACAAGGGTGATATCCAAGATTGCAATAACTATCGGGGTATCAAGCTGCTTAGCTATACTATGAAAGTCTGGGAGAGAGTGGTAGAGCTAAGGGTGAGGAGGAGTATGTCTATTTTCAAGAACCAGTTTGGATTTATGCCGGGACGTTCGCCTACAGAAGCCATCCACCTTGTTAGGAGATTGATGGAGCAATACAGGGAGAGAAAGAAGGACTTGCATATGGTGTTCATTGACTTAGAAAAGACGTACGATAAAGTTCCTGGGGAGGTTTTGTGGAGATGTTTGGAGGCTAGAGGTGTACCTGTTGCCTACGTTAGGCTGATTAAGGACATGTATGATGGAGTAAAGACCCGAGTGAGGGCGGTGGGTGGGGCTCGGACCATTTTCCGGTTATGATGGGGTTGGCATCAGGGGTCGGTACTCAGCCCTTTTTTTGTTTGCTCTGGCGATGCACGTACTGACGCGCCATATCCATGGGGAGGTGCCGTGGTGCATGCTATTTGCAAATGATATTGTATTGATTGACGAGACGGGAGACGATGTGAACGCGCAATTAGAGGTATGGAGGCAGACCTTGGAATCTAAAGGTTTCAAGTTGAGCAGGACTAAGACAGAATATTTGGAGTGTAAGTTTAGTGGCAAGACTCAAGGAGGGGAGGGAAAGGGGAAGTGAGGCTGGACTCGAAGGTCATCCCTAGGAGAGGGAGTTTTAAGTACTTTGGGTCTATTATTCAGGGGAATGAGGAGATTAATGAAGATGTCACACATCGTATTGGGGCGGGATGGATGAAATAGAGACTCACTTCCGGTGTTTTGTGTGACAAGAAGGTGCCACCGAAACTTAAGGGTAAGTTCTACAGAGTGGTGGTCAGACCAACAATGTTGTATGGAGCTGCGTGTTGGCCAATCAAGATTGCTCATGTGCAGAAGATAAAGGTAGTCGAGATGAGGATGTTGAGATGGATGTGCGGGCACACCATGTTAGATAGGATTAGAAATGAGGTTATTCACGACAAGGTGAGTGTGGCCCCTATTGAGGACAAGATGCCCCGGTAAGGAGGTGTGAGGAGGAGGAGCACAGATGCCCCGGTAAGGAGGTGTGAAATATTGCCATTGGAGGGCCTACAGAGAGGTAGAGGTAGGCTAAAGAAGAGGTGGGGAGAGGTGATTAGGCAAGACATGGCGCAACTTCAGCTGACCGAGGACATGCCCCTTGATAGGAAGGTATGGAGGTCGAAGATTAAGGTAGTAGAGTAGGTAGTCTAGAGTGTTCATAACAGTAATATTGACACGCAGTCTCGCTTTCTGTTGGTAGTAGGTTTTTATGACTAACCGTTGTTTTCTTTCATTGTTGATTACCTTACTATCTTATTGTTTTTATTATGTGTTTCTATTGTTTTTTGGTACTGTCCCTTCTTGTCTATATTTTCATTAATGGGGTGCTTATGATTTCCTGAGCCGAGAGTCTATTGGAAACAACCTCTCTATCCTCATAAGGTAGAGGTAAGGTCTGCGTACACACTACCCTCCCCAAACCCCACGCTGTGGGATAATACTGGGTATGTTGTTGTTGTGGTCAGTAGGGATTTATATAGCTGGCCCCAACTTGTTTGGGACTAACGTGTAGTTGTTGTTGTTGATGATGAACTTTACCGTTGAGTGGGGATAACATTATTTGTTCTTTGTGCTATGGATTTTCTTATATCAATTTTGGCTGCAAGATGGTGCCGTATTGATGCTTGTTCTTTACATGGAGTTTTTGTGAACAGAAGTGTTATTGGGCTTGATATTGATACTGAGTCTCTTGAGATTGCATCTGCAAACGCTGATGAACTTGAGGTGATTGTACTTTTTCACAAGTATATTGCATTTTTTTTCCTTTTTGACTTGAAAGGCTGAGACAACACTCTCATTCTTTTAAAATTGATTTTGATTAATAAATTTATTAGCATTCCATATTTATCTGTGTGCTTATCTTCATCTCTTGAACAATTTCTTCTGCAGTTAGACATGAATTTTATTCAATGTGACATTAGAAACTTAAAATGGAGAGGTACTTCCTTGCCCCGTTCTTTTTTTAAAAAAAAAAATCTCTTTTACCTGGCTTTTGATTGATATTCAATCATCTTTAGGTCAGGTTGTTGAGACGGTGGTGATGAATCCACCTTTTGGTACACGGAGGAAAGGTGCTGACATGGAATTTCTCTCTGCGGCTATGAAGGTATGGTTGTACTCTTTCATATTTCTGTTGGCCAAGACATATTCTTTGCTCATCATCTTCTTTATTGTTTTTTGTTTAGTCCTCATATGTTCCCAAGCTTTTAATATATGAATTTATTACTGTATCAGGTTGCTTCTCAAGCAGTTTATTCGTTGCATAAGACCACAACAAGAGAAGTAAGTTCTTCCATACTGTCTTCCCCATAACAAAAGAAATGAGTGGTGAAAATAAACTTCTTTTACCGTCCAAAATGTCTGCCTCTTTTTTAGCGCTAGAGTGCTCTGATCTAGGTCATGATCAACATTTATCGGTTCAATATAATGTTCGGGAGGATATATAATTTTTTCGTTGTTCTGTTTCTATGGCTATAACAGCATGTGAAAAGAGCAGCCTTGCGAGATTATCATGCAAGAACTGCTGAAGTTATATGTGAGGTACACATTCTTTTTCTTATTCTGTTGCCATTTTTTAACTGTCAAGAAAATAGATTCAATGTTTTGTTTTCTATCTTGGTAATTGGTAGTGACTTTGAGTGAGATTTGGTGTTGCCTTGTAATGTTTTGTGCTCTAATCTCTTTTAATTGCAGCTTCGGTATGATGTGCCACAACTTTACAAATTTCACAAGAAAAAGGAGGTCGACATTGCTGTGGACCTCTGGCGTTTGGTTCCTCAAAGAAAGCAAGAAAGATCTCTGTAGTATAAAGAATAGAAAGTAGGCAGATACGATGCATGTCAAATTAAGGAAACACCCATTTCTGAACTGGAGAAGGTTTCTCACATTATTGCAAGTACAGTTGTATGAAAGAAGTAAGAAATTTGTACCATTTGCTCCAGAACCAACTTTAACTTTTTTCAAAGGCGGCTCAATAGTCTTAGAGGCCTAAAGCCAAGACGTAATAAGAAGCCTTAAACTTGTTTAATAATTTCAGATATTTTTGTTAAAGTTTATTCTTTTTACTTTTCGAGATGCAATTTCATCTTGACGATGTAACCAACCCCTTTAATCTTTGTTGAAAGATTACTAACATTTGATAAGATTTTATTAAATTTAATTTTTAATTTATTCGTTTTACATGACCGCCAACGTAACTCACTATTTAATATTGCCTCCCAAAGTAATAATCATGTAGAAATTTGTATTTATAATGATGATAAATATTTTACGATCTAATTAGCTTGAAGCATGTCTATAGAGATCTTGAAAGAAAATATCGTACAAAGTTAGAACTGTAAATAAAATTTATTCAAGTTGGAGTAAGAAGAACTAAAAAGTAACTACAGATTTAATTGTCTTTTACTTTCATTTGAATTTTCTCAACCAACTCCGAAAAAAAACTACATAAAATATAAAACTATGTTATTAATGATTAGTGACAAAGTAGCAAATGATGGTTAAAAAATTTCTTATCACTATTTAATAATAAATACAATAAATATTCAAATTACATATAAAAAGAGTGACTTTTGGGGCCTCTAATTTTGTGAGGCCTAAAACGGCTGCTTTAGTGGCTTGGAGGTTACGCCACCTCTGCTTTGTTACTTGCTACCCGATGTCAATATGCCTTCCAGAGTTTGATTTTGTTATCTTTTGTTCCTAAACTTTAAAATCTTCGTCCTCTGAGTGCCCTGCTTGAAGAACATCTGGACGACTGTTGGAAATGAATTGGCTTTTATATTATCTGCATTATGTACGCAATTTGGCGAAACATAAAGTTAGTTCAATGTAAAGTGTTGCTCCAAAACGCATACGCAAATATACGTGGTCGACAAGTAATATAATGATAAGTTGAGTGTTGAACTCACAGAGACTTGTGTAAACTACTCACTAACTCACTAAAATTGTTATTCAATCCAGCTAAAATCAAAGTCCAATAATATGATTATATTATACTACAATTCTAAATAATAACTAAATTATCAAGTAACGAGTTGATTGTTGTGTATTCAGTAGAGACAAATATTCCAGGGTTGTGATCGATTCACCATTCGTATTGTGTTCTAATTAACTCTCCCTTTCATATAATTCACTCATGGTTGCTAATTAATCGATAAATGCGCTCATAGCCTTCTCCCGAAGTATTACTCACCTATTCTCAATAGATTAACGCCTATATTCCTATGAAATCAATCTATTAAGAATGCATTAAGATCACGATATTTAATTAAGCACGGTGACTAGGTATATTC